ATGACATATACACAAGTATTGATAGCTACAAGTCATCTGGTCACAACATGTGGATTCAGATAGAGAAGATGATGATGGGTTCTAAAGTTGGAACTCAACTGAAGATCACTAACTGCATTTCTGCTTATGAAGAATTCAAGGCTCAAGAGGGAGAAAGCCTTGACGATGTGTATAACCGACTTGTTAGTCTGCTGAATGAGCTTACGAAGAATGGAATCTCCAAAAMCAYTATTGASATAAATGTTAAGTTTCTTAACAATCTCCAGCCAGAGTGGAAATCATTTGCAAATAATATCAGATTTAACAAACAGTTATCTGATATTGATGTACATGAAATMTATGAAACTCTGAAACAGAATGAACAGGATGTTTTGGAGATCCGTAAATYAAAGAAGAAGGAAAAGGAAGTTACTGATCCTTTAGCTCTCGTAACTGAGAAAAAGGAGAAGAARTATAAAAGCAGAGCTGGAAAGAAGGTTGTTGAAGTTAGTCAATCAAGCGAATCTGAGCAAGAAGACAGTAACAGCTCAGAATCTGATTCTGAAGTAAAGCAAACTATGGCAATGCTGACCAAAGCATTCAAGAAATATAAGTTCTCCAAAAGGCCACAYTCGAATAATCAAAGATTCTCGTCCGGATCAAAGTATGACTACAAGGACAAATTCGGAGAGAAGAAGAAATATGAAGAGAAAAGATTCAAAAAGAAGTATGAGCGAAAGCCAGAAGAAGGAAAGAAATATAGCAAAGCTGATGAGCATACAAAATGCTTTAACTGTGGCAAGCTAGGCCATTTTGCTATTGACTGTAAGAAGCCGGTAAATCGAAATGCTGACTATTACAAGAACAAATTTCTTCTGTCAAAGCAAAGATAAGCTGGCAAAGCTCTTATGGCCAACATTGGCTAAATCTTACAGATGAGGAAGAAGAAGCTGAAGCTGTTGCACATATGTGSTTGATGGYTAAYACTGACAGTGCATTGACTGGAGAAGATTCTCAGATGAATGATGAGGTAATTCATCAAACATGTATTAAACATATTAATAAGATGAAAATTCATATTCAAAACTTCCAGCAAGCATTAAAATTAGAAAAAAGAGCGTTCAAATAATTTTGAAGATCAAATAAAAACGCTAAAAGAAAAGAGTACCAAAGTTTATCTTGAAAATGCTGRAAATTTGAATTTRATTAAGTCTTTGCAATCTGAGTCCAAAATTTCTGAAGAACATTCCAATACTTTAACCTTCGAGTTATCTGCATTAAAAGAAAAATATAAATCATTAGTTTTAGTTAATGACGAACATATTGCCAAAATTAGTAAGCTTGATTCAAAAATAATTCAGTTAAATAAAATTC